GCTGTTCGACATTAGCATTTTTGGACGGAAACGCTGAAATGAAAAACGCTACTAATAGGAGAGTTTTGGGTTGGCGTTTTGAAAAATGTCGTTTTCTATTAATTTTATGGTCAAACAGCTAAATTACCAAACATCTTCTGACAATCCACCAACTTATTCCGCTAGCCAAACCCGTTGATTGAATCCGCTATTGACAACCCGCTAACATAATCCGCTATCTGCTAACCGCTGAATGCCAAACACACCCGAAATAGCAAATTGCAGGAAATCATACAAGCACGCTACTTAACTGACCTGAATGGGAGAGCAATCTATGAATTGGTTAGCTCGAATAAATGACAGTCAGGAAGAGAATGTGAAGAATTGCTCTAATATATCTTTCAGCAGCAGTGGATGAAAGACATAATTGCTTCACGACCATGATCCAAAAAGCTTATGTTTCAGTCAAGTAGATGGCAAAGTGGGTGGAAGTGCTATGAACCTTCATGACTGCCTTGGAGGAGAGCTGCTCTTTCAGGATTCATTAGCATGAGATGCTGGATGTCCAGGGAGAGAACACTGAATACCGCTTGGAGATCCCCCTTTAGCTTGTGACAAGTGGAACCCGAGTCTGCATTACTGCTCCTGCAGTGCTGTTGCAAAGAATTATCTTAAATGAAAACAGATGCAACAGATATTATTGACTCCATGGAGACAGATTGATAATAACTGGCACAAATAGTGGTGTTGTCAATTCGAAAATGGAGAATAATTGTTTAAAGCTATATGCGTACATATTCTCAAATGTTACAAATCTGATTAAAGATGTGTTAAGTTATATTTGTATCGATTACACTGTTAAGTAATATTATTATTTTCACTTTTTGGACATATTATCATGGGGAAATCATTATATGTTCTCAACTCAAGAGTCAAAATATACAAGTAGAGACAGCGAACCCTCAAGCTTATACAACTTGATCCTCAACTGTCAAGCCTCCACAATGGTTCAATAGCACATACGAAGTATATTCGATAATTATTTAAAGCTTAATGAGTTAAAGGAATCCCTGAATAATTAATGATAACAAATAAATACGGAGTATACAACAAAACACAATCTCTCCTTAAGTAGAAAGAACCTGCCTGCATCTCCCTGACAAGATTTCTTTCAATTGCATTGAAAGCGTCAACTATCTCCAACTCGGACATTTGAGATATTACTTCTTTTATGTCAGTCTTCATTCTTGCTTGCCTCCATAACCTATACTGTTCATGTTCAGCAATGGCACGCTTTCTTTGAAACCATGGAATAAAGTTATGCCCCTTTAGAAACCTCCTACATTGCATATGTAAATAACATCTCAATACGGTAGAGAAATTTATCTTAATTACTTAGCTAACAATGACATGTTATAAATTATTATAAGAAAAATAATGAGATTTGAGGATGAGAATGTAAAACAAATTGAAGTCTTTTAGCCAACATGTGTGTGATAAGATCTGAAAGATGCCCAATGAATAAAATGATAAATCAATTGCCTGTATAAATCCAGCCAGTTTGAAGTCATCCTCTTCAGTAAAAATTTTCCAGGTCCTCTTGCTGATAAGATTGAAAGGAATTCCTCGTCATTGAAAGAAGGAAGGGAAGGAGGATCAAGAAATGGGGATAATCCTTCAGAAGGTGGGGTTACCCTGAAATATGGGGCAAATGGGGCCAAAAAGTTGGTCGTGAGCTCCAAGAAATGACGGCGCAATATCTCATTGTTAACAAGAGACATTGATTCCTCTACACGGGGTGAAACTCCTGCATCAATCAGCCTGTTCAAGATTGAAGTGTCTGGTTTTGTGATGGCAGTGTATGTGGTCCAAATGGCTTCTTTGTGCTCTGTCATGAGACAAAGGGGGCCCTCCCTCTTCATCTTCACAGCATTCAAAAAGTTCAATGGCGTAAACTTCTTCATGTTCATCCCTGGAGAGGATCTATTGCCAAGTGACAGTCGGTTTGAGTTGGGGGCAGGGCTTCCAACTGACACAATGTGAGGCATATTGCAAAGGGCTTTCAAGAAAAATAGATTGGTGACACCCAAAACCATCGGAGGAAATGTAGCACCCTCTGGGAGGGTGTTTAAATGAGCAAATTCTGCATCATGGATGGTAAAATAAGGCCGGAAATCAATACTACAGAGAAGGGGAGAGACCAAACTAACCAGACCAGAAACTGCTTCGCAACACTGAGGAGGAGTTGGAGCAATGATAAGAATAGGCTCTCCAATGAGTAGCAGTTCCCACATCTTCCATACCTGCATTAGGAGCCCTCTGAAAATGCCAAACAGATCCGAATCATGAAACAGTCCGTGTGGAACTGATTGATTGGAAGGCTGCAGAGAAGGAGCTACGGATGAGAGCAACTCTTCAAAGAATACTCCACCACCATCTAGGGGCAAACTATGGGCAGATGGCAGTGTCACTTTTAGGGTAGCATTTCCAATGGGAAGATCCATCAACTGACCAGGTGTAGGAGTAGGCCACGTTGACACATAAGAAGCAACGTAATGAAGGGCTTTCTGTCCAACATCAAAATACAAGGGTCCCAATATTTGCAACAAAGGTCTAAACACACATGAGAATGGACTATGTGAGAGAATCACCACTGATTTTTGCTCACCGCCACGCTTTAGCCTCTCATCATGCCTCTGTCTATTAAATACAAAGCCGTACAGGTATCGTGATTCAGCAACATGGTTAGTTCTCGTTATTGTTTTAGGGAACTCACCACCCAACAAACCTTTAGATGCTTGAACCCTGTCAACCTCAACGATCTCAGGTGACGACTGAGAAATCTGCTGTCTGCGGAAGCGGAAGAAAAAGATTGAATCGTGGATGCTTGAGCGATTATGATATTGAGAAACAGAGTCTGGAAACGAACTAAAAGAAACTTCAAGCTCCTCACTTTGGGTCAAAGCACCTGGCGGGTAGCACTCCTCAATCAGTTGTCCCTGTTCAAGATCGAACCTAATGATGCAAAAGGCAACAACCCATTGTTGCAATAATTTCTCATCAACCTTCAGATTAGGCTCCGACTTCACCGAGAATGACGGAGATCTGCTCATCTCGTGTGATTTCAATTCCTCAAAATAAATCAGACAACCACCCGTTTGATATTTCGACAAAGGTCATGCGAAAATCTGGCTACTGTCGCATTATGTATTCCCCAAACAATAACGGCCTCGCCGATCAGTAATTGCGCCGTGTTGGGAGCAGGACAGCCTCGAACAGGTCTCCGCCTGCCGTGTTGAAACCGGAGAATATGAATGGATGCGACACGGATAAGGATAACCGGATAAACACAGGCTCCGGTGGTGTTAACAGTTAGAAGAGAGGGGCTTGGGGCTTGGGGTGAAGTTTTGTATCCGGCAGTGGCGGGATGTTGTGAGCAGTGAATGTAGCCGGGTCAGATCAAACCGGCCGGAGAGTCGGAGCTAGGAGTTGTGGTTTGGCCGTTTGGAAGAGGTGTATCCGGATTCCGGCAGCGTCTCGCTTATTTGCTCCGACTCTTGATGCTTTTCCTCCCACAAGCTCCTAGTTTCAATATTTTACTTTTCAAAAATGATGTTTGTACACACTCTTATACACACTTTTGTACACACCTATGTCTGTGAAAGTTTTTTTTTTGCACAAACAAAATATTGTCTGTGAACCAGATTCACAGACAAAAAAAGTTTCACAAACATGGTGTGTATAAGGTGTGTACATGAAGAATGGTTGTTTATGTTTTGCTTTTTTTTGTATGGCAAATAATAATAAGTGATTTAACACCCAAAAAATAAGAACGAGTGATTTTTAAAAAGATATAATTATTTGAATGAAATTTATTTATAAAAATATGAATAATAATTATTCCCTCCGTCCCAAAATTATATTCATAGTTACTATTCACACGATAAACTCAAATTACTCTTAAACTTTTACTTTATATATCAAACTTAAATTTTCTTGATCAGTCTTTGTAGCGGATTTAATGTAGTTTCTGAATATGTAAATTTAATTTACTAAAAATAATATGAGTGTGAACATGGATCAAGTTGCTTTATCGTCAGTCAAGCATAGTAAACAGAACTACGAAGATAAATATGGGACGGAGGGAGTACATATTATTGTATAATCTAAGAGTCACTTATATATAAAAATTAAACATAAGTTATTATAATTAAATATATTAAATTACTATTATAATCACTAAATTTGAGAGATCATATTTTTGTAAATAATACAAAGTAGTAGCATTCAATTCAAATTTTTGTCTAGCAATTAATGTTGAAAAGTATTCTCAATAATGTAAAGATGTGTTTCATCATCCAATGAGAAATTCTATACCCATAAACCACAAAGATTGGCTTATTCCTTTATGGCGCCCAACCCAAACCAAAATTAATCAATGAGCCACTTTGGTTAGACATCTGTGTTTGACCTAATCAAAATCTATAATTGAAATTGTTTTACTTCATATTTTCCTTGCTCTCATATTTCTACTTCTTGCTCTATAGCCCAACTTCTATAATCTGATACATTACTATAGAATTCCACTTCACTAGAAACAAGTTGAAGGATTGAAGGCGACATCTTACATAGTTACATACTCCCTCCCTCCGTCCCGGTCATTTCTTCCGGTTTTGACTTGACTCGCAAATTTAGATAGTAAGAATAAAGTGGAAATGTATGATTGTAATTGTCCAAGAAAAAGGTGAATGAATGTGAACCACATATTTTTTCCAAAAGTGGAAGTTGGATGAATTAATTGGGACGGTCCAAAAAGGAAAGTTTGAAGAAATGACCGGGGCAGAGGGAGTATCATTTTAGAGTATTTTGTATATGACGGAACTTTTATAGAGGTTTTTCTTATTTTTCGTGATAGGTTATGAGAGGACATAAAAACGCACCAGATATTGATTCCGGACTCTCTATTGATAGGGTACTTATAGTTCATGTTGTATTACCCTGTCTCCGAAAAATCCAAACAGCAGAAATTAGGTAAAACTTTGTAAAAGGAAATATGTAAAGCTTAAACAGCATAAGTGTTAAAAAAATGTACATTATTCAAGAAGAGAAAGATCAAGAAGAAGAATACTAAAAAAAGAACATTAATGAAAGGGGAAAATGAACTCAAGCCGGGACCGCATATACAAATGGATATATGCAAATGGCTCATACACAGCATCTATAAAGATCTACATAAATTAGTTCTCTATCACCCCTTCTTTGCATGACGACTTGTTGTGCCCAATACCCTTACACCTACTGCATTGAACCTGACGCCTCTCACTGAGACCGACATTCTTCGTAGTGGGCCGACCTGGCGGGCGGCGGGTCGGGGGAGGGGTGACAGTTGCAACAGTTTGAGAAGCATCTTTTCTATGTGTGTGGCTGCTGCTGGTACTATCCAAACACGGAATCGGATGAACTGACTCGGAATATGTCAACCTGTAACTATCCGCTGTGAAGTACCTAGCACAAAAGTTGTACGGATCACGGCCAAGGCAGCCAATGACAGCTATAGCATGGCAGCAAGGCAAGCCAGAAACCTGCCATTCTCTACAGCTGCAATCACAGTGGTCAATGTCAACACATTCGATCGATTCCCCACCGTGCACTTCAAACTTATTGCGTGTTGTTGTTGACATCATAACCTGAAGAGAGTGGACTTTAAGGCTCTCCTTCTCCAGCTTCTCCTCCATAAACGGTGTTAACCTTGTCATCCACTGGTTGGACTCCATCCTTCTAGTATAAATCAAATCCATGATTTTACCCCGTATTGCATCCACCATTTGGGTGATTGGCAACTCATGTGCATCCGCTACCCAGTTATAAAAAAGCTCACCAAAGTTTGATGCGATGTGGTTATAGCGGGCCCCAGGGAAGAACGCATTAGCCCAGTGAGAAGGATCACTTTGGAAAACCCAGTTGTAAGCTTCCACTGAAATGCTTTTGATCCTTTCAACACAAGTGTGAAAGCTGTCAGGTTTAAGGGCATACGCGGCTTTATAGAGATCGTCAACTAAAAGACGCTTGACTTCATGAGAAAAATGTCCTTTTAAATCTCTAATCAGTTGTTCAGCCAGATATCTTACACAGAACCCATGGTATACGTCTTCGTTCTGAAAAACTTCAGCAATGGACTTCTGTAGACCCTTTTCTCTATCTGCCACAAAAGTAATGCCACGGCACATGGAGAGTGCAGCCTTAAGTTGAAGTAAGAACCAATGCCAGTTATCTTCAGACTCTGTGTCCACTACTGCAAAAGCTACAGGGAAAGCACCATCGTTTCCATCAGCAGCTGTGGCTACCAAGAGGTTGCCTTGATATTTTGACTTCAAAAATATACCGTCAAGGAAAAGCAGAGGCCTGCTGCAGCCTTGTTCGAAGCCAAACAGTGAAGCGTGGAATGAGACAAAGAGCCGATGAAAGCTCGAGTCCTCTTTAGTAGTGAAAGTTGCATAACTGCCCGCGTTTGACTCCATTACCTTTTCACAGAAGATTGGTAGCTGACTGTATGCCTCCTTGTATGAGCCTTGAAGCTGCTCTTTGGCTATCTCCTTTCCACGCCATGCCTGGAAGTAGTTTAGCTGGATCCCATATTCCTCTTTGATGTCATTGACAATATCCTTGGGCTTGTAATTAGGGAACACTCTCAGCTTCTCCTTTACAATACTTGCCACCCAGCTTCTCGTTGCCTGGTAACCTGTTGTCACAACAGCTCCTTCGCATGTATGGGTGGGATTCATTTTCTTTATGCAGATTAACTGAGTGGTTGACAGCCTTGAAGCATGAATCCTCCATTGACATCCTTCTGCTTTGCACTTCACAGTCACACGGTGACTGTCGTTCTTCTTGTACTTGAAAGCGAATTGATTGGCGATTGCATACTTTCGCAATGTTTCGCGAAACTCATGTACTGTGTTGAACCTTTGGCCTACCCCAGTAATACTGTTCTGCCATTGCTGAGCAGCTTTCGCGTTCTTTTCATTGTAGTTGACAGCAAACGAAACGGAAATGGGCAATCCAGAAGACATCTCGATTTGGGGAGGATCGGCAGTTGTGCTTGTGTCACCAACTATGTCAAAGGCATCATCATCAAGAAGAAGGACAGGTTGGTCAGGGTCATCAACGATATCCTCCGGTGGAGCATCAATTGGAACACCAGATTCTGAAAGAGTTGTACGGCTTGACCTGCAAGAACATAAGCCCGCCCCAACATGTTTTTATCTAAGGGATGGATTAAGATGTGTGTCACAAGACAGCAAGAAAAACTACCTACTGCCTGGCATGGTGGACAGATCAAGAGCAAGTGGTTCTTCAGTCATAACATATATCTCAGCAGAGTCAGATGCACAGTGAAACTGAATCATACGCTTAAGGTCCTTTTCATTGGATATGGTGATGAGAGTCTTCCTATTGCCTGGAAGGAAATATTTTATAGACATGGTAGTGAGGCTGCAGTTAAACATCTCAGCTACCTCAGCTTTGAATTCTTCATACTGCATTTGGTCATCGATTTCCATGGCATGAGCATCTCCACCTTTATAGGACAGTAAGCCATCCTCATCAGCCTCAAACTCACCACCAGACTGGCATATGGCTATAACACGCTCCCCAGCCATGATCTACTACAGTTTTCCGAACATAAAAATTAGAAAAAATGCCCAATATTGCTAATACAACAAAACTAAAATATTGGTTTTCTCTATAATACCTTCACATCTACAACTATATGTGAGCTGTGATTTTGAAATTAAACATAGAAGATTCAAGGAACTTCAATTTAAACTGTAGTCTAATACTCAATAGTACTCTCTCCATCCCAAAAAATGATTCAAAAGATTCTTTTGTCCCAAAAAGAGAGTCGTGTTTCATCAGAAGAAACTATTTTCCAAAATACGATGTACTGAGTTAGACTAACAAATACAGTTTTAACATATAGAAGTGATTTCATGATTTTTTAAATTTGTAATTTGCCAAAACTAAAAAATTGTAACATGATATTCTGTTTGGGGGCAGGGATGTATGTCATATGAAAGCTGGGAGCTTTACTTAAAAGTAAACGCATATGAATAGGAAAAAGTATACACTTATTACTTTACCTTTGCTTTAGTAATAGACAATTAAGGTTATCTCATTCTTTTTCCGTCAAATTATATACATATTACTTTATCTTTTCTTAAGTTCTCTTGGTAAGGTTAATGGACTTCTTATTTGTGCATGCTAACATGTCCTGCATCTGTCATCTGTGTATGCAGTTATTAAACCTCCAAATAACTTAATTCTGATCAAGGATAGTATGAAAACAGACAGGGAGACGCTGGCATATTTCTCTCCCTATTTTACCACGAAGGTAATTAATTTTATGGAACTCTTTTTTCTGTAAACATTCTTTTTGTAGTTGGATTACATATTAGTATATTAGTTTGTTAAATAAAAGTCATAGAACACTTACTATCATCACTGAAACTGCAAAAAAAAAATTGGCATCCTAAAAATATAAACTTTATTCATTAATAAAACTGAAAAGAAAACAAAAAACTGTAATAGTAACAACCTATCTATCCAAACAGCTAAGAATTCACTCCGAAGCCAAAAACTACATATCACAAATACCCTTAAACATAATATAGCTACAGAACAAGAATTAGAAACATTTCAATAGAATCAGTTGACAAATTACCAAAGAAAACTTAAACCTCGACCAAATCAATAAAATCCCACAAAACAAATCATATGATCCCTCACAATTGGGAGGGATGAAAGAAAGATGTACCTTCCAGTGACTGCAATGGGGTATTAGGAACTGAGATGGGCGCTTTCTGAGAGACTAAAACGCCACTTATTATTGAAGAGATGTCAATGGGGCAATTTAGATACGCTTCCAAGGAGAGCAATTTGAGATATATGTCTAGGGAAGGAGAGGGGAAACAACAATCCCAGTCATGCAACCCTGGCTGGCTTCCATCGCTGGTTCATACTGGGTTCTTGGATTTGGATGATTGTAGTCCCATCTCTAATCAACCCCAATTTTGTTGTTTGGCGGCACATCTCTGCTCACCTCACGTCTTACTGGGCCACATCTTTTTTTGACAATTTTGCCCATATATAAATTATTTAAGCCATTACATTATTCTCCAAAAAATGTTAGTGTTTTTTTTTTCGAATTAATGTTAATTAATTAATTAATTACGAAAATAATGCTGGAAAAAAAGTATTTATCGATCTACTGCTGGATTTAACCATGGTCAGGGAAAGTCGTCCAACGGTTGGGCGACTTATAAGGACGACTTTCCCTGACCATGGTTAAATCCAGCAGTAGATCGATAAATACTTTTTTTCCCTGCAAGGGGCACGATCGTGCCTAATTCCGAAAACAGAATTTCAGCATTTTTTTGCCCCAGTTCAACCCAAACTCATCTGTTTTCTATAAATAAGGCATCCTTTCTCCTGTTTAAGTGTTACGAGCCAGATACAACTGTAATACCCGAGATTAATTTAAGAGGATTAATAGTACTACTCATAGAAACAGAGGTGTATCTCCTTTTAAGAGAGCTCATCACCTAAGAACTCCAAAGTTAAGCGTGCTTGCACGGGAGTAGTCTTGGGATGGGTGACCCCCTGGGAAGTTTCTCAGGGCGCGCATGAGTGAGGACAAAGTGCGCGGTAAAGGCTCGTGGTGGTTTGTGAGGATAGTACTATTGGTCAAGAGTAGCTACCTCGGGTCCTGCGAGGCCGGGGTGTTACAAATGGTATCACAGCAACCCTGCGACAGTGTATTGACCCGTTGGATATCGGGCGGGCACTTAGCAGGGCAAGATTCTGGGGTTTGATTGAGATTGGTTTAAGGGCGCAACGAGGACGTTGCGATCCTAAGTGGGGGTGATTGTAATACCCGAGATTAATTTAAGAGGATTAATAGTACTACTCATAGAAACAGAGGTGCATCTCCTTTTAAGGGAGCTCATCACCTAAGAACTCCAAAGTTAAGCGTGCTTGCACGGGAGTAGTCTTGGGATGGGTGACCCCCTGGGAAGTTTCTGAGGGCGCGCATGAGTGAGGACAAAGTGCGCGGTAAAGGCTCGTGGTGGTTTGTGAGGACAGTACTATTGGTCAAGAGTAGCTACCTCGGGTCCTGCGAGGCCGGGGTGTTACAACAACACATTATAAACATACAACACACATGATCACAAACACATACATAACATTACTCTCAACAACATACAAAACACCTTGTAAAGACCCTTTACAAATCGAATACAAAACCTTAGATTCATAACCGGTAAAACACAGTACAAAATCATCCAATCAATATTCATAACAAGTAATCATCTAATATTCATACTCGAACACATCAAAACAACATACAAGAGTTTAGAAGAGAAAATACGTAAAATGTTGTAAATTCTTCCTACAACATCTACTGTACAAGAAAAACTGCAATACAAAAGGCAAAACTACAAGTTCTCATGGTCATTTTGATCATCGTGGTCATGGAGATGTTGTCGCTGATGTCTACGCCTACGCCGTGGTCGTGGTTGAAGAACCACTCTCTCATGCTGCGTCTGGGATGATGAAGCCGCCGCTGCACTAGACGTCGATGGCATCTCCTGAGATGGGGGCATGTGTATAAGATGGCCGTAGTCGACTCGCCCCAACACATCTGAACAAAAGGAGGCAATGCCTCTCAGAGTCTGTCCATACATGACCAAATCATGAGTATCACTCACTGTGGCAGTAGCCGCTGATGTATACACTTGTGTCATTCCCCCACCCTTTTTGTTTTACTTGCATTTTTTTTTCTAAGTGTCAAACGAGAACTCAGGTACTTGCTTCATGTAGTCGTGGCCGATGAAGGATCTTGCCCTGTGCTTGGCTGAGGAGGAGATGTCTTCTTCGTCCTCGTGATGTTTGGCATCCCACATTTTTGTGAAAATACTTCTAAGTGTTTAGCTTAGAGTATATATATGCTTTATTCTGTTGTGGACGATGAGGGTTGTTGGCCCTTTATTCGGCCTCAGGACCCTTGTCGGCCACTCTTGGTGCCCCTTGGGAATGTTCCCTAAGTACTTTGAAATTTTTCTAAGTGTTTGGACAGACTTAGGTGGTTACTTCCTCTGGGAATGGCCGATGACGGGCTTCGCCCTTGGGTCCGCTGAGTGAGTTTCCCCTGGACCATTTTTGTTACATGTCGGCTATCTCGTGTCCTCATCCGCCACTAGAGTTTACCTTGGAAATTTTGTCCAAGTTTTTTGTATGAATGCTTTCGTCCATGATGTATAATATTTGCCTGATATGTACTTGGTCAATTTTGGGGATTTTATTTTTATTGCTCGAGGCTGGCGAATGCACGGCTCATCGGTTTCCCTCTTTTATGTTTGGGGATATTGCTTTAGGCCGGCAAGTGCACGGTCCTTCTGCTGTCCCTCTTTTATTTTTGGGGACATCACTTTAGGTCGGCAAGTGCACGGTCCTTCGGCTGTCCCTCTTCTATTTTTGGGAATATCGCTTTAGGTCGGTAAGTGCACGGTCCTTCGGTTGTCCCTCTTTTATATTCTTCCTCTTTACTTCTTTGAGCGAGGAGTGGGTATCCTTCTTTCAGGCTTCGGCCGAGGGGGTCGATAGTCCTTCGGCCGATAAGGAGTCCTACTGGATCGTCCTGTGGTCTCAGGGAGGTCTCGTCGCCTATTTATGACGCGGGCTAAGGCTTTTGGTCGGTTATCGACGACTGTCGTTTCTCATCCCTGAGTTTGGGGATTTTTGTCACCTCGACCATGATTTCAGACCTGTCATCCTACGATTTCGCGAGTGGACGACGCGGTGAGCTTCCCATTTCAAGATGCGGGCTCTTTGCGGGCCCCTTGTCCCGGGGACACCGTCGTCCTTACCTGAGCGTCTCGCTCTAAGGGACCGAAACGATGTGCTCTGTTGACCTTTCCTGAGCATTTCGCTCTGAGGGGTCGGTGTAGTATGGTATTTTTTCCTTAAACTTTTCAGAAAAAGTAGAATACAACTTTTATTGATAAGTGGCTCGAGGCCGAGGGAGGCATTCGATCAACAACCTGTGGGAAGGTGAGGGCTTTGTCGGCTGCGCCGTCCCGGATTATTGATAGAATTTCACCAAGTGATGTACATTCCATGTTCGTGGTACATTAGACCCATTCGGGTGTTTTAGTTTGTAGGTGTTGGGCTTGACTACGGCGCTGATGATATATGGGCCTTCGTACTTGAGTGCCATTTTCCCACCTTCCGTCGTCTTACTCACCTCCCTTCTGCGAAGGACATAGTCCCCCACTTGGAATTCCCAGGAATGTACCTTGACATCATAGTATGATTTCACTTGACGCCGGTAGTTTTCTGCCCGGATGAAGGCTTGCTCTCATCGTTCTTCAATCAGGTGGAGGTTGATCTTCATGCTTTCTTCGTTGGCCTCAGGTTCGTACTGCTCCACCCGTCGACTGGGTATAGTGACCTCTGTTGGCGCCTTTGCCTCAAAGCCATAACAAAGGGCAAAGGGTGTTTCACCCGTCGCCCTCCTCAGCGTAGTACGGTAGCACCAAAGAATGTTGGGGAGCTCATCGGCCAAATTGCCTCCTGCGTCCTGGAGCTTCTTCTTTAGGCCCTCCAGGATGGTTCTGTTGGCATTCTAGACTTGCCTGTTGCCTTGAGGATAGGCAACGGAGGAGAAACGATGTTTGATTCCCCATTCCTGGAGGAACTCTTGGAAGGGTGCGGCCTCGAACTGGGTTCCGTTTATCGGATATGATCTCTTGGGGAACGCCAAAGCGGGTGAGGATATTCTTGTGGACGGACCTCTGGCACCTAACCTCTGTGATGTTGGCCAAAGGTTCCGCTTCAACCCACTTAGTGAAGTAGTCGACGGCTACGATGATGTAGCGGTTGTTACCGGCGGCTCTGGGCAGGGCGCCGACCAGGTCAATACCCCATCTGGAGAATGGGATTGCAGTGCTGATTGGGGCGTAGTTGACGGCTGGCCGACCAGGGGCTTTTTGAAGCACCTGACATGCGGTACACTTCCTTGCAAGATTGGCACAATCCCGCGCCATCGTCGGCCAGAAATAGCCCTGGACGACGAGGCACCGGGACATGCTAAAAGGGCCCTGATGAGAGGAGCAGACGCCGCTGTGGACTTCCTCCATGGCCACTTCGGCCTCGTCCGGGTGTAGGCATCGAAGAAGAGTGTCGTTGTAAGATCTTTTGTAAAGCTTTCCATCCTCGATGGTGTAGCTCGGGGCCCTGAGTTTGGCTAGCTTGGCCCTCTCCTTGTCTAGGGGCAGTTCTCCTGAGGTGATGAAGGTCATGATGTCTGTGATCCAGTCCTCCGGCCGGTGCTGGATACACATGACCGGGCTGGCATGGATGTTGAACATGCTCAGCTCCTCGACCTTGGCTACCTTGGAGATGTGCTCTGGAGTATCTGTGCTGAGCTTGGAGAGGATGTCGGCCTCGGCGTTCTCCGCCCTTGGGATCTGTGTGATCTTATGGGTTTCAAACGCCTTGAGCAACTCCTCGGCCGCCTGCTTGTACTGTCTCATCCTCCCTTCTTTGGCCTCGTATGAGCCCTCGATCTGGCCCACCACTAGTTTGGAGTCGCACCTGATTATGATGTGTTGCGCTTTGAGGCCGGCGGTGAGTCTAAGGCCGCTGAGGAGGGCCTCGTACTCGGCTTCGTTGTTGGACACCCTGAAGTTGAAACTAGGGGTGAGCATAATCCGAACCCACCCGAAAACCCGATCGGGTTTACCCTCATTTACCCGCCTGGGTCGGTTGACCCGAACCCGAAAATCCAAACCAAATATGCCCAGCCCAATATTTAAGGGAATGGGTTACGGGTAGGGTTTAGAAATTGGCTACCCGGCCCGCCCGAAAAACCCGAATTGCCCTAGGTATATATACTAAACATTTAACCCTAACCCTACCACTTCACTCTTCACTCGCAACCGGCAACTCCCTCTGACCCTCTCCTCTACTCCGACCTCTCTCTAACCCATCCTCTCATCCGTTGTTTCCGGTCA